TTGGAAGCCCCGCCTCCCCCCCTGGCCAGGGGACCCCCAACACGCAGGGTCCTGGGTCTTGACTGTCACTTACACCTCCTGATCTGTTAAAAGAAATTGTGTGTTTTTTTTTAAAGTACACAAGGTGTCCCTAGCACCTGTTTGGTGGGCAGCATGGCAGCCCAGAGATGCCAGGAGCCCACCGCCCCAGCCCCTTCCTCCTCCTCTGGAACCTCTGCCCCCAGGCCTGTGCTGGGCACCATGCAGGTCCATCTTGTTGCAGTGGCAATGAAGGACCTCAGACCCAGGGTTTCAGATGGGTGCATCCTCTGCTCAGGGTCAAGTTCCAATCAGCCTTCCTGGGCTGGGGACAGGTGGCCGGCCCAGCGCTGTCTGGAGGTTTCTGGGGAGGGTCTGAGTTTTGTTTTTGTCACTTCTGCGAAGCCTCCCTAGCCCCCAGATCAGATCTCAACCCCAGGAGGCAGGCCCCCCAACCCCTTGGTTCAGGCCCCTCAATCCCCTAATTTCCCCTCCCTCCCCCTAGTGCGGAGACCCCTCCAGCTCCGGGGTTTAGGCCCCTTAATCCCAAAGCTTTCTCTGCCACCAGCTCAGGGTCAGATGCTTATTCCTGGTCTCCCAAGGTCCCGGACTCACGCCCCTCCTGCGCCTCCCACCCAGTGGTGTGCCATCTCCCCTGACCTCCCCTGACCCCATGCCCTCTGCCCTGCAGCCCAATGACCCTGTCACCAACATCTGCCAGGCCGCAGACAAGCAACTCTTCACCCTGGTGGAGTGGGCCAAGCGGGTCCCGCACTTCTCCGAGCTGCCCTTGGACGACCAGGTCATCCTGCTGCGGGCAGGTGAGTGGGCTGTGCCGGGGCCCCTGTAGCATGGCCCTGGACTGGGCCCTCTGGGAACAGGCAAGTTCTGCCTCGAAGCCTCATGTTCAGTGATGTGATCCCTCACTGGGGAAGGGTCCTAGGTTCAAGACCCTCTGCCCAGCCAGCCCTCGGCCCGGGCAACCCAGGGGATCTCTGGGAAGGTCATGCAGCGGGCAGTGGCCCCTGCGCCTGACCCGGACGGTGTCCTGTGTCCCCTACTGCCCCAGGCTGGAACGAACTGCTCATCGCGTCCTTCTCCCACCGCTCCATCACGGTGAAGGACGGCATCCTGCTGGCCACCGGCCTCCACGTGCACCGCAACAGCGCCCACAGTGCAGGCGTGGGCGCCATCTTTGACAGGTGGGCAGGGCGGTGCATGCTGGGGCGGGCTTGTCATGCTGTCGGTGGGGTTGGGGGGGCTGCACCCCACTGAGCCAGCATCTGGGGGAGTCCTCTCGTGGTTAACCAGGTAGCCAGCTAACCAGGGAACCATGCGGCTTAGTTGGTTCCCATCCCTCGATCCCCGTGCACCCTCGTGGCCACTGGCTGGGCTGCGCACAGCGAGCTCAGCAGTTCCAAATCACGGCTGCTTCTCGGAGAAAGACGAGGCTGTCTGCCCGCTCCTAGGGGTCACTGTGAGTCGGCATTGACTCAGTGGCAGTGGGTTTGCTTTGTTTTGGGGGTTCTGTGCCGTGCGGAGGAAATAGGGCTTTGTTCCAAACGTGCCCGGCTGCCGCCGAGTTTCACAAGAGCGTTTCTGCCCCGACACGCCCGGGCCTGAGAACACCCCCCCACGGCGCCTGGGGGACTTGGCAGTTAGTTCTCTGTCCAGGTGTGCGCTAGCACTGCACACCTGACGGCCCGCCCGCACCTGCGCACCCCTCACCCAAGAGCAGGCTGACGGTGGGGGGGCCAGGCTGTCTCCCACAAGTTGCTCCTTTCGAATGCGAGGCCCACCCCCGTGCCTTGTCCAGGCGGCAGCGCCTGGGGCCTTGTGCATTCTGTTGGAAGGGAGGCACCGGGTCCCAGATGGGGAGGAACAGCTTGAGGGGTCCCAGGTGAGTGCCACAGCATGCCTGCGAGCCCTGGAACTTGAAGGTGACCGCCGTCACACCTGGGCATTAGAAGTGCATGGATCGTGCACACACACACCCCTCTCCCCCAAGGATAGCTGTGACTATTGCCACGTCCCAAGGGCATTACGTCCCCCACAGCAGCAGCCAGCGCGTCTCTTCTGACTCACAGTGACCGTACATCGGGTTCTGAGGCTGTGATCTCTGGGGAGCAGACAGCCACGTCTTTGTGTTGGTGGGTTTGAACCACTCACCTCGTGATTAGCCGTCCCATGGGTGTGGCCATTTTAAATGACACGCATGGTCTCTGACATGCATGTGTGTGACGGGGGCAAGAAGCTCAGGGCCCCATGAAGGAGGCTGAGGGAGTGGTGGGGCTCAGGGCCCCCTGAGGGGGGGGGCGATGGGGGCTGTGGGTGCAGGCTCATGGCCCTCCAAAACCATCTTCCGGGAGTCTGTGTGGGAAGCACACCACAGACCAAGGTGTTGAGGTGTATCGGAGGTGACAGGATGGAGGTGCAGGGGCCTCCAGGGCACACCTCCAGGTGTGTCCACCCAGGGCAGTGGACATCTGGCCCTCATTCCAGGCCGGGCACCAGCTGCCCCACCTCTGCCCCACAAGCCTGCTTGCCCCCATGTGTCTTCCTCAGTTGCAGCCCACCCTGCCCACCCTCAGGCCCCGGCACCCCAAACCTCCTCCCTGCAGCCCGACCTCCCTGACCAGCGCTCATGCTTTGGGAGATACTGGGCCAACCACTGGAGATGTGGGGAGAGGCCAGCGGGGGTCGCAGGGGCTGGTGGGTAGAGGGATGGCCCCTGGAGGACCCCAGCTCTCTGCCATGGGGCCTGGAGGCTGGCTCTGTGGTGGAGGGGCAGTCTCAGCAGCAGCCTGGCCCCAGCGTCCAGCCCCAGCCCCGAGGGCGGCTCAGCCTATGCAAGACCCCCTCGGCCCCCAGACCCTCCCACAGAGGTGCCGGAGTGAGAGGGGGCGCCCACCCTGGGAAGGGCTGTGCAGACCCCAGGCTTCCTCCCTCCCTCCCCTGTTCTGGGCAGCTGCCCCCACACCCCTGCGAGGGCACGGGCCCGTTGGCATGGCGTTTTCCTGCCGCCCCGCAGGGTGCTGACGGAGCTCGTGTCCAAAATGAGGGACATGCAGATGGACAAGACGGAGCTGGGCTGCCTGCGCGCCATCGTCCTCTTCAACCCGGGTATGGTGCCCCGCCCCGTCGCTGGCCCCGCCCACACCCGGCCCCGCCCACACCTGGCCCCGCAGGTGGGGTGGGGAGAAGGGCTCTGGGTCAAACGGGAAGGGGCGCCTCTAGCGGAGACCATGCGAATAGCCATGCGAACTAGGTGTCGCTCGCTGCGTTCTTGGGCATCAAAGCAACCGCCCGGTTGTCCGCCTTGGGGCCCTGGAGGACGCGCGTAGCCCCTGGGAAACTGGTAGCCAAGCCCGAAGCCAAACCGAGCTCGGGCCCCCCGCGCCCGGTGGGCGAGCCTTTCCCAGACACCTCCTCTTTTCTCTGATGCGCCGCCAGGGTCCTTTCAGTAAACGCAGCAGAGATGAAGGTGAAGGAAGGCAGGGACCTGGTGAAGGGGGTGCGAGGGGACACCCGGGCTGGGAGTCTGGGGTGCAGGGAGGGCACCCATCCTGGTTTGGGAGTTAAGGGTGCAGAGGGGACACTGTCCTGGACTGGGAGTCTGGGGTGCAGGGAGGCAGTGCAGCAAGAGAATGCGCTCCTGAGTTAGGGGTTGGGTGTGGCGAGGGGGTGCCTGCCCTGGAGATGGGAGTTGGGGGCACAGTGAAGGGGTTCCCATATTTTGGATCTAGGTGCGCTCCTGGAGCCCTGGGAATTCCCCCCGAGCTGTGGGGGGAGGCAGCTGTGGTGGGTGGGACCGGCTGTGGGCAGGGGGCTGGCCTGGGTAGTGTTCAGTACAAAGAGAGTGCCACAGAGGGGCTCTCCCAGGCTCTGGTGGTGGGATCAGCAGGGAAGGCGAGCCAGGGAGGGGCTGAGGTGGACACTCGGCCCTCAGCAGAGCTCTTTGAGAGGCACCCCTACCCAGGTCTTGCCCCTGCAGAAATCCTGTGACCACAGCTGATGCACTGTCCCCACCCCCCACCCCCAGCCCCTGGTGGTTTGAGCACCATGTCCCCATGTGAGCCCCTTCCAGGCGGGACTCCTGGCTGCCCCGGGTCCCCCACCCACAACTTCTGAGGCTCCAGGTGGCTCCAGGTCCCTCAGCACCCTGGTGGGGGGTGGGATTTATAGAAGGTGGGCAGCTTTCCCCGATCTGACTCAGCATAGCCACAGCCACCCGAGCTGGCTCCCAGCTGCCGAGGTCACCAGGGGAGGGTAGACAGCAGGCCGGTGGATCGCACAGATGGAGACCATGGTCAAGGGCGGCTCACAGTCGTCCAGCAGCCTGGCTGTGGGTGTAAGCCTCCCTTAGAAGTTTGTGGGACCAGTTGGGAGTCTGACCCTGTGTGGGGGTGCTTGTGACACATGTGGTCCCCGGGAGAGCCCTGGCCCTGCTGAATGGGCACCTCTGGTCCCCGGGGCCTATGGGGGCCCAGACCCTGCTGTGTGGGTGCCCAAGACCCTGAGGCCAATGGGAGTCCCTAACCTGCTTTATGTGGGCACGTCATTGACCCCAGGACCAGTGGGGCATTCTGACCCTGTGTGTGTGTCTGACCCTGGGGGTAATGGGGGCCTTGACCCTGCTGTATGGGATACCTATGGCCCTGGGGGTGATGGGGGCCTTGATCCTGCTATATGGGATGCCTATGGCTCTGGGGGTGATGGGGGCCTTGATCCTGCTATATGGGATGCCTATGGCTCTGGGGGTGATGGGGGCCTTGACCCTGTTGTGTGGGATACCTATGGCCCTGGGGGTGATGGGGGCCTTGATCCTGCTATATGGGATGCCTATGGCCCTGGGGGTGATGGGGGCCTTGACCCTGCTGAGTGGGATGCCCGTGGCCCTGGGGCTGGCCGGGCTCTTCGGTGGACTCTGGCTCCTTCCCTTTCCAGACTCGAAGGGGCTCTCTAACCCGGCCGAGGTGGAGGCACTGAGGGAGAAGGTGTACGCATCCCTGGAGGCCTATTGTAAACACAAGTACCCTGAGCAGCCGGGCAGGTGAGCACTGTGGCCAAGCCCTGAGGACCCCCCCCCCACCCCACCGCCCCTGTATTTGCTGTGCAGAGAGGAAGGGGCTGTGTTGTCTCTCCCCACTCCCAGACCCTCCGAAGGTAGGCCGTGGGGTGGCCAGGTCTGCTGTCCCCCGGCAAGGCCTCCCTCCCGGTATGCAGTGGACATGCAGGGGTAGGCATGGGCCATGGGGCTCCCCGTGTGGGCTCCTAGGGATGGGGCGATGGGGTGCGCAGACATGGTGCACACACGGTTAACTGTGCCCACCCTCTGCCTCATCTGGTTTGGTTTAAAGGGAAACTCCCCGGACTGAGGGACAGTGCAGCAGGGGGGAGCGGGCCTGTTTGTCCTGGCCACCCGCCCACCCCTGGGCCGCTGCGCCAGCTCAGCAGAAAACAGCGAGTTCCTGGCACAGCACCAGCCGCGGGCCCAGCTTCTGCCTGCATGGTGGCTCGGTGGGCCAGGCTGCTCCCCAAAGTCAGGATGAGGGGTGGGCTCCAGCCCCATGGCCCCTTGGGGACCCTCGGAGGATTGGGCAGTGCTGGGGGATGGGAATGGGGTGTGTGCCACTGGCCTGTCCCTACCCTGCATGCCTGTCCCCTGACCTCTGCCACCCTAAACTCCAGCCCCTGCCCAGGAAACGGCCCAGAAGGGGCAGCCCCTTTCTGGGCGGCAGGCAGCTGGCCTTTCCACAACTTGGTCTCTGTCCACTTTGGGGGAAGGGGTGCTGGCTAGGGCAGGGGAGCCCTCCTGAGCACCCCTGGTCTTCAGCGGTGTTGAGTTCAGCCCCCTGTCCTTGGAGCAGCTCAGCCTGGGCCTGCCTGCTCATCCCCACACCTCGCCGACGTGGCCAGGGCAGTGGCTGTGGCATGGGTGCCTTCTTGCTGCTTTCTCCCCTGCTTTAGTCCTGCTGTGGCTCCCCACTGCCCTCGGAGAAGGGCTTCTTATCTTAACCCGCATGTGCCCCCTAGCCCTCTTCCCGCGCCCCCCCTCTTCGCAGTTGACTGTGGCCATCCTTCTTGGGGTTCCCTGTGCACCCTGTACCCCTGCTTCCGCCCATCTTCCGACTAACCCCCCTGCACCCCGAGGGGCCCCCAGACCCACATCCAGCAGCACACTGGGGCAGGAGTTAGGCAGGAGGTTGACCTGCCCCTGCCTCCCCCACCCCCTCTCCCCCGTCCAGGTTCGCCAAGCTGCTGCTCCGCCTGCCGGCCCTGCGCTCCATCGGCCTGAAGTGCCTGGAGCACCTCTTCTTCTTCAAGCTCATCGGGGACACGCCCATCGACACCTTCCTCATGGAAATGCTGGAGGCACCCCACCAAATCACCTAGACCGTCCGTCTGTCCACGCCTGTCCCCTGCTCTGCTTGACCCGTGTGGCCCCCGGGACTCCCCGCCCGATACTGTCATTGCTCACCTCAGATGCGCCCTCCTCCTGTCCCTCTCTCTATACTGGTCTGTGTCCTGAGGCAGAGGCCGCCCTGTGGGGGCAGCTGCAGGGACGGCCGGGTCCAAGGCCGGAGGCCCAGGACCTGGGCTTGGCTGGCGGTGGCAGCTGGGAGCACCTTTCTCCTCTCCGCATTATCACATGCCTGGCCAGCCTGGGGCGCTTTGGCACCAGGAGGGAATGGTGGGTGGGCCAGTGTTCCCGAGGCCGAAGACCCCCAGTGTCCCCGAAGATGAGAGGGTGCCATCTGTGGCCAGGGTACCCCTACTGCTCACAGGGGCAGGGTGAGCAGCGCTTTCCAAAGATAACTTGCAGCTAGCCAAGCTGATCTTGGGGTGTGGGATTTGGGGGCCCACCCCCGACTCCTTGGTTTTCTCTGCATGTGTCCATGCACTGCCTGGGGTGACCCCCCCCTTCACTTTGGGGGCCGTTAATGCTTCCTCCAGCGCCCAGCAGCAGCTCCTGGAGGAGGTGGGGTCAGCAGGCCAGTGAGGCTTGGGGAACTGGGCCCATCAAGCCCAGTGGCCTCACTCCTGTTGTGTGGGCACTATCCTGGCCTCTGCTCAGGTGGAGGCCCCAGGCTGCCCTGGTCCAGCCTGTCCAGTCAGGGCCCTCTTCCACTGTGCCTGGGACTCTTGGGGGGGCTCTGAGGGCGTATGTGATAGTAAGTGTTTGTGGGGTGCTCTGATGGCAAGGGGGGGCTCTGTAGGAATGTGGCTCTGAGAGTGGGTGGAGCTGAGTGGGGGTGGGGCTTTGATGGTGGTGGGCGCTCTAGGGGTGTGGCTCTGTGTGGGCAGAGCTGAATGTCGGGGGGGCAGGGCTCTGATGGTGTGAGATGGTGAGTGTGGGGCCCTGTGGGGGAGTGGCTCTGAGTGGGTGGGGCTGAGTGCCCACTGAGTGCTCTGATGAAGTGGGGGTTCTTTCCCAGGCCTCTTCTCTCTTTGGGGCCTGGGCACTGTTCATGTTACATCTCGGACCTCTGGTCATTTGGGTGCCTGGGTAGGGCGGGGTCCGGCCCCTAGGGAGCGGTGTTCACTGCAGGGGGCGGGGGCTGCTTCTCCACCTGGCCCCATGGTTCACCGTCTGTCTCTGCCCCAAGTTGCCTGGGGGGGCCTCCACTCAGAAGTGGGGGCAGTCAGCCTGCAAGTTTGGCATGGGCACTTTTGGGGACCCACCCCCCTGCTCCCCATGTCCCTCTGTGGCCACCAGCCACGTACCTTCACGGCCTTTCCCACAAGCTGTGGCCTCCTTTCAGGGCGAACTTGCTGGCCTGTGACCTGGGCTGGAGGGGCCCTGGCCCGGGTCTCATTGGACTGGACTCTTCCGGTGTTTCCACCTGGGCTGTGGATTGGTTACTGTCACCACTGCAGCCGTCTGTCTGTCCGTCCAGAAAGGAGGTTGGTGGGGGAAAGGCATGCCGTTCTAGGCTAGCAGGGGGTCTCCTGAGCCGACCTCTATACTGTCCTTACAAATCTGGTTCAATTACGGTGATTTCTTTTGTAATTATTATTGTTATTATTATTATTATTATTTGGTGGGACAATCTTTAATTTTCTAAAGATAGCACTAACATCAACCTGGTGGCCGCCACCCCGTGCCTGTTCCCTCGTGGTTCAGATGGAATGACCTAGGACACACAGCTGCCCCCTCCGCCAGCCCCCCAGTACATCCTCAGTTGGTCCCCACCCCCACCGATGTCGCCAGGTGCCTCTGTGGCGGGAGCAGAGAGGTCACCACACCCGGGGGCACGGCCAAGCTCCTGCCATGCCCCATCAGGAGGCTGGCCTGCGGGAGGCCACCAGACTGCAGAGGGTCCCGGGCCAGCACTGGGCGCGGCCAGCGGCCTGGGGGGCACAAGGCCTGGGCCACCTGGAGGAGGCACCCGACGCTGTCCTGGGGGGCCTCGGCAGAAGACGGCGTCCTCTGATGTCCCCAACGCGGCCTCGCCCAGCGTGGCCCCCTGGGCAGCGGGGCGGAGTCCACGCAGAGGCCCTGCCCCTGCGCCCTTCCACGCGGGCTGCGCTGCGTGTCTGCTTACACTCGTGCGTGTAAGAAGTACCCGAAGACCCATCCTTGGACGAAATCCGGGTTCAAATGACTTTCTCCAGGCGAGGGGGGGGCGCATCGATTTTAAGATGCGCAAGGTGGGGGTCGCGGACCCCAGCTTTCAGCCATGTCTTAGCGGGGACGTGGGGCGGCCGCTTCGAGGGTCACGCAACGTGGAGGGGGCTAAGAGAAGATGTCTACAGCATCAGGAGAGGTTAAAAGAAATCTATTTTTGTACAAATGTAATTTTATCCCTCGTGTATACAAGGAAGAGATGCTGGGGGCGGGGGTGGGGGCTGGCCCTGCGGCTGCTTCGGAAGCCCTCCGGCCGGGTGCGCACCCCCCACCTGTCCGGGCAAGGCGCGCCCCCCGGGGGCGTGGGTGACGCGGCATAAAGGCTCTCTATGGAACACTGCAGACAGTGTGTTTTTCCTTCGCGGCACGGGGACGTCTTCCCAGGCCGATTCCTTTCTCCAGCCTTGCCGGGGGGCGGCCCCCCACTGGCTTTGGCTGTGAAGCTACTGCCCAGTGTGATGGTTCTTGGAGAGGCCGGTGCCAGCGTACCCCACCTCCCCTGGGCTTCAGCAGACCCCGGTCGTAGGGCTGGGGTGCCAAGACCGACCGGAGGGAGCAACAAAGTAAGCATATTCTAAAAGCATGACCTCCCAGCCCATCTGGGGATGGGGTGAGGATGGGGGGGGGGGCACTGCCAAGCCCCACCCCCTGACCAGAAATGGGCACAACTGCCCAGGCTCCTGGCCACCTCTCACGACTTTGGGGAGCTGCCTCCTGGCTCAACCCCCACCCCTGCCCACACTGGTAGAGTGCTGGGGGGCTTCAGAAGTAGGGCAGAGACCTGCCCCAGGAATCCCTGGTGCTAGGGCCTCTGTGTGGGCCCGGGGGTGGAGGCTTCCTGTCCCAGACCCTCAAGTGCTTCCTTCCAGCGGACTCTCGGAGAACCCCTGTGCCTGAGCTGGGCTTCAGGGCAATGTGGTCCTGGACGCCACAGCCTGTTGGTCCAACAGCTGCCCTTGGGCACCCCTGTGCCCGGAGCCGGGCCTCGGGGCCATCTAGCCCCATGGCATCTAAGGACCCCGTGGGGGGCCCCTCCACAGCACCCTCATGCACTCGTACACGGGCACACACCCATGTGTACGCAGCCCAGGGCACATGCGAGCCCCAGAAAGGTGATGCTGGGGCCACTGAGAAGGAAGGGTCTGCCCTTAACCCTGGGGCACTGGGGTCCTGAGCCAGTCCCCCTGGAGCCAGAAGGCGTTGTTCTCCCCCTGGGGCTGAGGGAGCTGCTTCCTGCATCCCAGGACTTGCTGTGTAGTGAAGGGCTCCCCCCCAACCAGCTGCTGGTCCTGGGGTTTCCCCCTGGACTTCCTAGGAACGCTGCTGCCCCAACCGCCCGCAATGACAGGCCCCTCCTCGTGGCTGAGCCCCCACCCCCGTGGGGGAAGAGCATGGTTGGGGCCCTTCAGTGGTCTGCAGGGGCAGGGACAGCTGGGTCCAGGTAGATGGGCGACTGCAATGACCTCATAGGGGGTGGGGGGGGCACTGGGAACAGTGAGTGCTCATGGTCCTTTGGGGCAGCAGGTGAGGTGGGTGGAGTGCATGGGACAGGGCTCCGGTTTGGACATCTACCTGCGGGTGGGCCAGGTGACCCCTCTGGGACAAGCAGGCCAGAGCCCACAGCCAAGCGGGAACCTGAAGGCCTGCAGGCGGCACCACAAGGCAACCTGGCTGGGGCCTCCCAGCTGTTCCCGTCACCTTGGTGACCTCTGCCAGGGCGGTCCCTCCGGACCAAGGATGCTGGACTTGGGAAGTTTTATCATCATGGCAGAACCAGCTGAGGAGGGGCCCCGCCACCGCCAGGGGAGGGAGGGTGGAGGAGGGAGCAGGGCGGTGGGGGTGCTCAGGCTGGGGTGGGGGATGGCCATTATCTGGCACTTCCTGTGCACTCTGCTGGTCACTGGGCCACTGGTGGGGAGGGTCGGTCCCTGCCACCAGGAGGCTGGAGTCAAAGCCCCTCTTTGGGGGGTGTTCTTGATATGTGGCCTGAAGTGGACACCGGATGGAGGCATGGACACTAGAAGTGTCCAGTGAGTCTTGGGGCCCCTAGGCAGGAGGGGACATCCTCTGTCACCCTGGGTGAGGACAGAGACCCAGGCTCTCATTGAAGTGTTTTCACTGGTTGGTCTTTAGCAAGGGTTACATTCTAGTTTACGGGAAAGTGGTGCAGAGCCCACCCCTCCAGATTATGCCCACTATGTCCCCCCACCCCCACCCCCACTGCGTGTGCTATAGCTAGGGCCCGAGAGGAGGCAGCAGGCCTGGCTGCATCCCACTGTGCTTTTCTGAGCCAGTCCATCAGCTGGGGCTTACCGCACATAGTCCCCTGCCCGCTCCTGGTCACTTCCCAGAGCTGGTCACCGTGACTTCTCTGCTTCCTGTGCCTGCCCAGTGGTGACCTCCATCTCATCTGCAGTGGGCAGGGATGCATGTGCACCTCCCTGAAGACTTCATCCAGATGAGGGGTCCCTGGGCCATCAGGCACCTGGGATTGACAAGAGCCTCGTGGCTGATGTCCACTGTGACAATGTCACCCAGAACACTGCCCTCCCTCCTGTTCTCAGCACAGCATCAGCCGTCTGGGGACTCCTGGACCCGGAGGGCAGGACTGCACATGGCTTTCCCCACCGGCTCTTTAGCAGGGGTACCCCTTGAACGTCGATGCCCAGAGACAGCTGGGGGACCTCCAGACCCTCAAGGAGTTTTGATTGGGGGACAGGCCTGGAGAAAGGCTTTTCCCAGAGGTCAGGCTGAGGCAGCCCAGATGGTCCCCAGCTCTCTTGTTCCTGGCCAGCCCACTCACACACATCCCCAGGGTCTTGATCTGGACTGTATCCCCGGAAGAGAAACCTGGGGCAGGGGGTCCGCTGGGCCGCGAGGTGGCACTGCCCCCTTCTGGAGAGCCGCGGCAGTGCATGCCCGTTCTCCCCTGACCCGGCTCCTGGGCGTTTCCGGGTGACTGGAAGCAATGACTTCCCATCTCCTGGACCTCAGCACCACCCCAGCGGACCGGAAAGCGAGTGCTGGCTAAAGTGGGGCCTCAGGGTTAAGGCCTGCTCCTGTTGGGACTCTAGCCAACCTCCCCCACCGGGGCCCCTTTGGGCAGGGGAGCAACGGGCTGAAGGGCCAGTGACTGTTTCCCCACTTCTATGAGGTTGAATTAGGAAGTATTGCTCTCAAATTATAGAGCCTGTAATTAAACAAAGACGTGGAAACAGGAAGCTGTCTTTGACAGAGCCGCCCCTGGGTCTCTGTACTTCTGAAGGTGGCATGTCCGTCGCTCCCACCCTCCCCAGAGCTCTGTGCTCTCTAAGGGACACCACACCCAGAAGGCAGTGCGGCCCTCAGGGGCCCACCTCACCCCCTTTAGCGGCAAGATCTGCAGTTCAAGATCTGCAGTTCGAAACCAGCAGCCACTCCTCAGGGGCAAGATGGGGCTGTCGGCTCCCATACACAGTTTCAGTCTCGGAAACCCACAGGGCCGGTTCTGCTCTGCCCTTCAGGGTCACTGTGAGTCGGCTCCACCTGGATGGCCCTCAGTTTGTTTGCGTGGCAGCGTCATGGGTTACCTGTTGGGCTGCTAACCGCAAGGTCAGCAGTTTGAGCCCCGTTGCCGCTCCTCAGGGAAAAGATGAGGCTTCCTGCTTCTGTAAGGAGTTTCAGCCTTGGAAACCCACAGGGCCAGTTCTACCCTGTCCTTTGGGTCAGTAAATCTCAGAACTGACTCGACGGTAGTGAGATTTTTGCCTTCGGAAGACAAGGGCTTGTCTATAACAGCCCGATACTGGCAAAGACAGGCAGGAACACATTGCGTGGACCTGTGGGAGCTGGAGCCCCAGCCACACGGTCAGACTTCCCGAGTGCACCTCTCAGAGCCCTTACCTGGTGGTGGTGGACAGGTGGGAACGGCCTGAGCACCCTGCACTGTGGGCACACTGGGGTGAGCTGGGGTGGGGGGGCTTCTG